GAGCTACAGTAAGCTTCACTATAAGGCTAGGAATCCAAACCAGTAGGGATTGTAGAAAGTGATCAAAATCAATTGATAGCTATTTTACAGAGCTTTTCATGTTTCATTCAGAGATCCCAGTGCACCCCAGAGGGCAAACATGCCCAAACACATTTTTAAGAAATGCAAAAGTTGTCACTGTGTTTTTGCTTCATCAGAGAGGAACAATATTTAATCTAGGAGCTGGTATCACAAATGCAGAATAAATACATCCAGGACAAGGTTTAATTCTGGTTGAGTTCATCCACATTTCAATATTTCATAGCCCACCTATAATAATCTGGGTCTGTGAAAGCGGCTCTAAAATCCCAAACAGCTGTTTGAACCATGATTACAGTAGTGCTATATAGATTATTATACTGTTGATTCCCTACTACTCATCCAGACACAAGACATTCAGAGAATATACAGTGCCTTCAGAAAGTATTCACACCCATTAGCTTTTTCCACATTTTGTTGTGTTACAGCCTGAATTTAAAATGGATTAAATTGAGACTTTGTGTCACTGGCCTACACACAATACCCCATAAGTGAAATTATGTTTTTACAATTTTAACAAATATTTAAAAATGATAAGCTGAAATGTCTTGAGTCAATAAGTATTCTACCCCTTTGTTATGAAAAGCCCAAATACGTTCAGGAGTAAAAATTTGCATAGCAAGTCACATAATAAGTTGCATGAACCCACTGTGTTTAACATGATTTTTGAATGACTACCTCCTCTCTGTCCCCCACACATACAATTATCTGTAAAGTCCCTCAGTTGAGCAGTGAATTTCAAACACCGATTCAACCACGAAGACCATGGAGGTTTTCCAATGCCTCACAAAGAAGGGCACCTATTGGTAGATGGGTAAAAAAAAAAAAAAGACAATGAATATCCCTTTGTGCATGGTGAAGTTATTATTTACACTTTGGATGGTCACTACAAAGACACAGGCATCCTTCCTAACTCAGTTGCCAGAGTGGAAGGAAACCACTCAAGGATTTCACCATGAGGCCAATGGTGACTTTAAAACAGTTACAGAGTATAATGGCTGTGATAGGAGATAACTGAGGATGGAGCAACAACATTGTAGTTACTCCACAATACTAACCTAAATGACAGACTGAAAAGTAGGAAGCCTGTACAGAATAAAAATATTACAAAACATGCATCCTGTTTGGAATAAGGCACTTAGGTAAAACTGCAAAAAATGTGGCAAAGAAATTAACTTTATGTCCTGAAAACAAAGCGTTATGTTTGGGGCAAATCCATCACAAAATATCACTGAGTACCACTCTTTATATTTTCAAGCATTGTGGTGGCTGCATCATGTTACAGGCAAGGGCTAGAGAGTTTTTTAGGATAGAAAGAATAGAGCTAAGCACAAGCAAAATCCTAGAGGAAAACCTGCTTCAACAGACACTGGGAGACAAATTCACCTTTCAGCAGGACAATAACCTAAAACACAAGGCCAAATATAAACTGGAGTTGCATACCAAGACGACATTGAATGTTCCTGAGTGGCCGAGTTACAGTTTTGACTTAAATCTACTTGAAAATCTATTGCAAGAATGGTTGTCTAGCAATGATCAACAACCAACTTGACAGAGTTGAATAATTTTGAAAATAATAATGTGCAAATATTGTACAAGGTGTGCAAAGCTCTTAGAGACTTACCTAGAAAGACTCACCACTGTAATCGCTGCCAAAGGTGATTCTAACATGTATTGACTCAGGGGTGTGAATACTTATGTAAATGATATATTTCTGTATTCCATTTTCAATACATTTGCAAACATTTCTAAAAACATGTTTTCACTTTGTCATTATGGGGTATTGTGTGTAGATGAGTGTTTTTATTTTTTAAATCCATTTTGAATTCAGACTGTAACACAACAAAATGTGGAATGAGTCAAGGGGTATGAATACTTTCTGAAGGCATTGTAAAGGCCCAACAGTATTCTCTTAGAGCATGCAGTAAGTTCTAGTAAGATCAGAGTATAAAAAATAAATACCTGGATTTCTGATTTGATTGAATGATTAGTTGTTGCAGCACCAGAGATGCTTGTGTCAGTATGGCATCACAGGATGTTGACATAGGTCTGCAGTATAGACTTCCTGCTTTTGTGTAAGAAACTAATAATGGACCGATCTGTTCTGCAATAACAACTTTTGGTTGCCAGCACCAAATACACCCATTTCTCCTGTGTTCCATTTTAACCCTGGTGATTGTGACAACACAGAGGAGGAAGATCACAGAGGTCAAACTCTCTGTAGTCCAATGGTTGATAAGATGATTGTAACATCCTTTAACTGCATAGTGTAGTTGATTCATCGTTTTGTTGTAAAGTATAAAAAAAAATTATAATATCAGTTATATTCAGCTGGTAATAGCATTAAAATAAGCCATTGAAGACCACGTTTTTCTTATAAGCTCCAATTGTGAATAATATAGTTTTTAGCGCATCCATAGAAAGAATAATTCACATACAGTTGAAGTCGGAAGTTTACATACACTTAGGTTGGAATCATTAAAACTCGTTTTTCAACCACAAACTGACGTTTTGGCAAGTTGTTTAGGACATCTACTTTGTGCATGACACAAGTAATTTTTCCAACAATTGTTTACAGACAGATTATTTCACTTATAATTCACTGTATCACAATTCCAGTGGGTCAGAAATGTACATCCACTAAGTTGACTGTGCCTTTAAACAGCTTGGAAAATTCCAGAAAATGATGTCATGGCTTTAGAAGCTTCTGATAGGCTAATTGACATCATTTGAGTCAATTGGAGGTTTACCTGTGGATGTATTTCAAGGCCTACCTTCAAACTCAGTGCCTCTTTACTTGACATCATGGGAAAATCAAAAGAAATCAGCCAAGACCTCAGAAAAAGAATTGTAGACCTCCACAAGTCTGGTTCATCCTTGGGAGCAATTTCCAAATGCCTGAAGGTACCACGTTTATCTGTACAAACAATAGTACGCAAGTGTAAACACCATGGGACCACACAGCCGTCATACCGCTCAGGAAGGAAACGCGTTCTGTCTCCAAGAGATGAACGTACTTTGGTGCGAAAAGTGCAAAGCAATCACAGAACAACAGCAAAGGACCTTGTGAAGATGCTGGAGGAAACAGGTACAAAAGTATCTATATCCACAGTAAAACTAGTCCTATATCGACATAACCTGAAAGGCCGCTCAGCAAGGAAGAAGCCACTGCTCCAAAACCACCATAAAAAACCCAGACTACGGTTGGCAAATGCACATGGGGACAAAGATCATACTTTTTGGAGAAAGTCCTCTGGTCTGATGAAACAAAAATAGAACTGTTTGGCCATAATGACCATCGTTATGTTTGGAGGAAAAGGGGGAGACTGGTGCATCATGCTGTGGGGGTGCTTTGCTGCAGGAGGGACTGGTGCACTTCACAAAATAGATGGCATCATGAGGAAGGAAAATTATGTGGATATATTGAAGCAACATCTCAAGACATCAGTCAGGAAGTTAAAGCTTGGTTGCAAATGGGTCTTCCAAATGGACAATGACCCCAAGCATACTTCCAAAGTTGTGGCAAAATGGCTTAAGGACAACAAAGTCAAGGTATTGGAGTGGCCATCACAAAGCCCTGACCTCAATCCTATAGAAAATGTGTGGGCAGAATTAAAAAAGCGTGTGTACGCAAGGAGGCCTACAAACCTGATTCAGTTACACCAGCTCTGTCAGGAGGAATGGGCCAAAATTCACCCAACTTATTGTGGGAAGCTTGTGGAAGGCTACCCGAAATGTTTGACCCAAGTTAAACAATTTAAAGGCAACGCTACCAAATACTTATTGAGTGTATGTAAACTTCTGACCTACTGGGAATGTGATGAAAGAAATAAAAGCTGAAATAAATAATTCTCTCTACAATTATTCTGACATTTCACATTCTTAAAATAAAGTGGTGATCGTAACTGACCTAAGACAGGGAATGTTTACTAGGATTAAATGTCAGGAATTGTGAAAAACTGAATTTAAATATATTTGGCTAAGGTGTATGTAAACTTCCAACTTCAGCTGTATCTCTGACTTAATACACACTGAGTGTACAAAACTCTTTCTATGACAGACTGACCAGATGAATCCAGGTGAAAGCTATGATCCCTTATTGATGTCACTTGATAAATCCACTTCAATCAGTGTAGATGAAGGGGAGGAGACAGGTTAAAGAAGGGTTTTTAAGCCTTGAGACATGGATTGTATGTGTGCCATTCAGAGGGTGAATGGGCAAGACAAAATATTTAAGTGCCTTTGAACAGGGTATGGTAGTGCCAGGCGCACCGGTTTGTGTCAGGAACTGCAACGCTGCAGGGTTTTTCCATGCTCAACAGTTTTCCGTGTGTAATTGTCCACCACCCAAAGGACATCCAACCAACTTGACACAACTGTGGGAAGCATTGGAGTCAATATTAGGAAAGTGTTCTTAATGTATTGTACACTCAGTGAACATGTCAGGATATGTCGAGATTAAGAATCACTGCTAGTCAGAGCCTGCTAATAGCTAGGCTAACACAGTTATATTGTAGGGCTCAGTCAGTGTTATGTGCTAGGCTAATAAAGCATGTTGGTAGGGTTGCCAACTCCGACCAAACTCATTCCAGGAGATTATAAACATCCTAAACTGTAGTGGGGCGTATAACTGTGTTAGTGCTCATGTTCAAGTCAGTCAGCGCATGCTTGTCCCCTCTCCAGGGGATGAGAACTAGTGTGCTTAAGGTCACTTGAGTGTGCACTTCTGGACAGGAGCTAGAGAGGAGCCATTTGTTTGTTTATGTCAGATGTAGGAGATCCCTGTCCTAGAGGGCTGCAGTGTAAGCAGGCCTTTGTTCCAGCCCAGCACTAACACACCTGATTGAACTAATCATGGTTCAACTTTAATAGCAGAAGCCTGTACACACGGTGGCCCACCTCAGTAGTCACCTGTCCCAGGTCTACTTAGTGGTGGTGGCAGGCATGCTGACAGAGAGGGTCCTGCGAGTGGCGTTGGTGACCTGGTGCTGCTGGGTCAGGAAGGACTGGGCAGGGGGCACCATGGAGGTGGAGCGACCCCCCAGACGGGCCTTGATCGCCAGCTTCTGGAAGCTCAGACTCTGGAGGGGGCGGAATACAGACAGCAGGAATGTTTATTTGAGTTGGAACAAAAGCTCTGCATAAGTAACATTTGTAAACTGTACATTCCTGTAATTTATTTTCAAAGGAAATACGAGGTCTAAAATGTTCTAACCTTGTTGTACCATGCTGTAACAATCAGCTTCTCTTCATACACCTTCAGCTTTGCCTGCTCACACTCCCTCTACAGAGAGAGACACAGAGAGAGCGAGAGAAACTATCAATACCAGAGGTCGAGAGTGCATTGTGAGATGAGTACTATGGATCCCTATGTGAATGAGTGTCTCCTGGCTGATGGTTATGGTTAGAGGCCAAAGGTCAGGGCCATGGGTTAAAGGTAATTGTTAACTCCAGGCTGAGGATCCTCGTCTCTGTCCGTCAGCTGGTTCTTTAGAGCCTGGATCTCTGCTGTGGCTAGGTTCAGCTTGGGGTCCAATGCACGGATCACCTACAGTACCGAGACAGAGAGAGAGGGCTTCATCAGAAATCACTTTTTCAAATCAAATCCAATCAAATTTTATTTGCCACATGCGCCGAATACAACAGGTGAAGACATTACCGTGAAATGCTTAATTACAGCCCTTAACCAACAATGCATTTATTTTTTTATAAAAAAGTAAAATAAAACAACAACAACAAAAAAGTGTTGAGAAAAAAAGAGCAGAAGTTAAATAGAATAACAGTAGGGAGGCTATATACAGGGGGGTACCGGTGCAGAGTCAATGTGCGGGGGCACCGGCTAGTTGAGGTAATATGTACATGTGGGTAGAGTTAAAGTGACTATGCATAAATAATTAACAGAGTAGCAGCAGCGTAAAAAGATGGGGTGGGGATCCGGGTAGCCATGATTAGCTGTTCAGGAGTCTTATGGCTTGGGGGTAGAAGCTGTTGAGAAGCCTTTTGGACCTAGACTTGTCGCTCCGGTACCGCTTGCCGTGCGGTAGCAGAGCGAACAGTCTATGACTAGGGTGGCTGGAGTCTTTCACAATTTTGAGGGCCTTCCTCTGACACCGCCTGGTATAGAGGTCCTGGATGGCAGGAAACTTGGCCCCAGTGATATACTGGGCCGTACGCACTACCCTCTGTAGTGCCTTGCGGTCAGAGGCCGAGCAATTGCCATACCAGGCGGTGATGCAACCAGTCAGGATGCTCTCGATGGTGCAGCTGTAGAACTTTTTGAGGATCTGAGGACCCATGCCAAATCTTTTCAGTCTCCTGAGGGGGAATAGGCTTTGTCGTGCCCTCTTCACGACTGTCTTGGTGTGTTTGGACCATGATAGTTCGTTGGTGATGTGGACACCAAGGAACCTGAAGCTCTCAACCTGTTCCACTACAGAGAATGGGGGCGTGCTCAGTCCTCTTTTTTTTTTCCTGTAGTCCACAATCATCTCCTTTGTCTTGGTCACGTTGAGAGAGAGGTTGTTATCCTGGCACCACACGGCCAGGTCTCTGACCTCCTCCCTATAGGCTGTCTCATCGTTGTCGGTGATCAGGCCTACCACTGTTGTATCGTCGGCAAACTTAACGATGGTGTTGGAGTCGTGCCTGGCCATGCAGTCATGGGTGAACAGGGAGTACAGGAGGGGACTGAGCACGCACCCCTGAGGGGCCCCTGTGTTGAGGATTAGCGTGGCAGATGTGTTGTTACCTACCCTTACCACCTGGGGGCGGCCCGTCAGGAAGTCCAGGATCCAGATGCAGAGGGAGGTGTTTAGTCCCAGGATCCTTAGCTTAGTGATGAGCTTTGAGGGCACTATGGTGTTGAACGCTGAGCTGTAGTCAATGAATAGCATTCTCACGTAGGTGTTCCTCTTGTCAAGGTGGGAAAGGGCAGTGTGGAGTGCAATAGAGATTGCATCATCTGTAGATCTGTTGGGGCGGTTCAAAGCACTTCATGGCTACAGACGTCAGTGCTACGGGTCGGTAGTCATTTAGGCAGGTTATCTTAGTGTCCTTGGGCACGGGGACTATGGTGGTCTGCTTGAAACATGTTGGTATTACAGACTCAGTCAGGGACATGTTGAAAATGTCAGTGAAGACACTTGCCAGTTAGTCAGCACATGCTCAGAGTACACGTCCTGGTAATCCGTCTGGCCCTGCGGCCTTGTGAATGTTGACCTGCTTAAAATTCTTACTCACAATGGCTACGGAGAGCGTGATCACATAGTCATCCGGAACAGCTGGTACTCTTATGCATGCTTCAGTGTTGCTTGCCTCGAAGCGAGCATAGAAGTGGTTTAGCTCGTCTGGTAGGCTTGTGTCTAGTTGGATGTGAGAAGAATGAATGATTAAGGAATGATGACTCACATTGCGTGCTTTCTCCAGGTACATCTTGTATCTCTCCTCCATGGCTCTCATGTCATCATCCTTCTTCTTCAGAGCAGCCATCAGCTCATCCAGTCTCAGAGCTAAGGGACAGACAAACAACACTCACTGGGGTTACTCTGAGAACTATACCGCCAGTGTTGTGGTCGTGTTATGGTTGTGTTACAGTTGTACTCACAGGTCTGTGTGTTGTCTGGCTGCAAGTCCTCTAGGAGTTCTTTCTTCTTCATGATCTCATCCTGCGCCTCGTTCAGTTACACCCTAGGTAATAAAACACCTTACTTTACAAATTTATCTGACAGAAGGAACTATGGCTGCATTTATACATGCACCCCAATTCTGATCATTTTCCCACTAATTTTGACCAATCACATCAGATCTTTTCACACCAGATCTTTTTCAGATCTGATTGGTCAAAATATCAATTAGTGAACAAAAGATCAGAATTGGGATGCCTGTGTAAATGCAGCCATAAAGGTCTCACAAAGCAGTATGGACCATACTTACATATGAGCATCCAGTTTCCTCTTCAGGTGAGACTGCAAATAAAGAGCAGTTGTAACAGTAGCTGTAACACACAGCTACTGTTACCTCACAGCTGCTACTGTACATATGAGAGGCAGTATTATGCAGTATTTAGGGTTAATGTTTGATATAGCAGTATACTGTAAGGTTATATGTCTGGTTGCACTCATGTTGTCAGTCTTGTTCCCTGGCAATGTAGGGCTTTCCGTAGCTGTGTAGTATCATCATGTGTATAGTGTGTATACTATAGTGCAGAACTCACGTCATCAGTCTTGGCTCCCTGGCCCTGTAGGGTTTTCTGTAGATCCTCTACCTGCTGCTGCAGCTCAGTGACCCTCTTCCTGCTTAACCTGGAAGTACATCAGACACACAGGAAGTACATCACAGTCAAACAGGGAGTAAAAAACACACACACAGCTTACCTGTTCTCAGTGTCCAGTTCGGAGCGGGTTCTGTGTGCCACCTCTAGCAGTATCTGTAGTTCAGAGATCTTCTCATTCTCTGATCCCTCCTGCTGCACACGCAATATCTTATTCTCATGCTGGAGCCGGATAAACTTCTCCCTGTACGGACAAGGACACACACAGTTAGCGCAGTCAGTGTCTCACACACAAAACACAATTATTAAATTATTACCTGTACTCTACAGGTAGGATCTCAGCAGCAAGGTTATCATGGCTTGGACTGCCAGCTGGCATCCCTGCCATCCCTGTGGACAAACAGAGAGGAGATCAGTAACCATGTGTATCTGTAAGCTTCAGAGAGACACAGGCCGTGTTCGAAACCGTGCTGAATCATGGGTATATTGTGACTGACTGATCTAAAAATAACACTGAGTAGTTATTTATGATGCATGGTGGTTTGTCTTGACTCGGCTGTAAAGTCGGCGGCAATGTCAAACACGCCAACACTGTTTATCAAAGGAAACCAAACCTCAACTACATTAAATCTGCTTTCCAATCATATGCAGCACCAGTCAGTCTACATTGTCAATGTGATGGTCCAATGAGCTACCTGCTTGTAGGAGCTGGTCCTGTTGAGCCTGGTTACATCGCAGCTCCTCATTGGTCTTCTTCAGAGAGTCTCGCTCGATGATGATCCTCTGATGACATCATCATCAGGAGATAGAGGAGGAGATAAGCCAATAGCATTAGACTATTGCCTAAAACATTCCTTAGTTCCTCCCCCTAATGTGTTTGCATGTCAGGGGGACCAGGTAGGTTGGAGTAGAAAGTGTTGGGATCCAGTCCATACCTCTTTCTCCTTCATCACGGCATCGTGTTTCTCTTCAAACTTCTTCTTTTCGTATGCCAGGTTGTCTGACCGCCGAGACTCCTCTGACAACTTCCGGTGCAGCTCCTGGACCTGGCAGGAAACAGGATGTAGATTAAGTAAGCCCCCTGATTGGCTGTTTGTCACTCCAAAATGATGTCTCCTCAGAGACGACTTGTTAGGTGAGGGCAAAAGCTTCACAGAGTTCCGGCATATTGCTTTCCCCAACCCAGTTCTGTCAGACCCATAGAGCAGAAGGGAGGGGACAACTTTAGGAATGATCTTGTCTAGTACATGTCTCACCTGTCTCTTGTATGTCTCTGGCTGTGTGCGGGCAGCGTTATCCTTACATAGCTCCTCCTCCAGATCGACAGTGTTGTGCATGTAGGTCATGTTCTTCTCCTCCAGCAGTTTGACTTGTCTCCTCAGATCTCCCAGGTCCTCCAGTTTACGCCTGTATGTCTCTACTGACGCCTCCAGCTTCACAGCACGGTCCGAACAGCTCCTAAACACACACACACACACACACACACACCACAAAATTGATAATTTATTGCATTTAATTGAATTTATAAAGATAAATAAATAAAGCAGGCAAATAGATTAAAGCAAGGACCTAAACAGCACATTCTTACTGGTCTACCCTTGCTTCAAACTGACCACTTCCTCTCTCCCACTCCCATTTATACATATTCCAGGACGTGATGCACGTCACAGAAGATCTGATGATTACAACTGCAATAAAGGACCTAGAACACCACCAAACACACCTGAGGATATCGAGTTCGTCTTTAAGTACTCGTGACTCCTCGGCCAGGCTGGTTAGTTCGTCGTTACGATGCTGAACCTCGATCAGCTGCTTCTCCAACTCCTCACAGTGGATACGGTAGTCATCCTTAGCTGCCTCTAGCCTACACACACACACACACACAGAGGGAGAGAGAGAGAAATCTGTAAGTGCTGTGTTGAATAACTCTAAGCGTCGTTCCAGTGCGATGTGTTTTCACTGACACATGACACACACACACCTGAAGTTCTCCTCCTGTAGTGTCTCTAGCTGTATCTGTAGCTGGCTGTGTTTCCGTCCAGAGGGCGTACTCGGGTCATCAAACGAGTCCAGCTGATTGGCTCGGCCCGTCAGCGCGTCGTTCTCAGCCAATAGGCTGTTCCGCTCCTCCTGAAGGACCGTCACCTGACCAGGGTCAAAGGTCTGCTGTGTCTCAATCCCAAAATATGAATTAGTTGCGCGAACATAACTATCAAACCACCATTTTTTACAAGTTCATCCAATACGGCAGAACCACATAAATGGTCACAGATGCCTGAAGAATGGGGAGAAAGGTAACTAGAAGAGTCTTTGAGAGATGATGTGATAAGTGTAAATTAATCTCCAGTGGGAAAGACCCGTTCTCACCAACTGTTCAACAAACAAAGCATCATTATTACACCCTGAAATTATAGTACAGTGCAGTGAAGCCACATAGCACCTTCAACAACATCAACATGTTAATGAATAGGTTGAAAGGCTGGTTAGTTTATCTCCCTTACACACACACGCTCCTCTGTTCATTAGTCATGCTTTATGTCAGGGACAATCCTTGGGAATATAAGCTTTATGTGTGTGTGTGTGCATAAAGAAAAACATAATTCAATTCAGCGTCTTCGCTCCACCTGTTCCCAAACACTACAAATTAACACACGCGTAGTTTAGGTTAGTGATACGTGTTAGCGACAGAGAGCAAGAGAGGGTATAGATGTTTTAATCCGCCTCTGCAATCAGCCGTTAGATGTTTTTAGTCCGCCTTGACGACAAGCAGCCATGTTGACTTACCTCTGTGTGTCCTTGAAGAGAGACACTGGTGATCTACTGTAACAACTCAATCTGGAGACACGAGAAGAGAGGCCCATACAACATGGACTTGACCTAATCAGTAACCAGCAGCAGAATTTTGTCCTGTACTATGTTTTCCCCAGCCAGGCAGAGCAGGGTATGGCAGAGAGAGCAGGTAGGGGGAGAGCAGAGAGGCCTAGCCTGTAAGACCACAGCCCTTCTGCTACACCAGCCACAGACAATTGCCTCTGGCATCACTGCACATAACACAGACCCAGTTTATACAGTACCAGGGTTGTGTGTGTGTGTGTGTGTCATTGATATTTGGCAGCCTCGGCTTACGGTATGTGGCCTTCAGATTGCAGGCTTGCCGTTATGGGCAGCCTAGCTGTGTGGAGGAGAAGGTGCTTTTGTTTCCTTAAGTGTCCTTGCATAAACAACCTTTGAAATGTATGAATTCTTTATGAGCTAATCTTATTTGTTGATTCAAATAAAGTATTTAAAATGTGTGTGTACCTGTACGTCGAGCTCCTGACAGCGCTGGGCTAGCACCTCCTTTTCTGCCATCAGATCTGCCAGGTCCTCGAGAGCCTTCTTCAACTAGATACACACACACACTTAACAATACAGCTAGCTTCTATACAGCCTACTTCAGCAGGTCCAAGGAGAGACGAGCAATATCACAGTACTAACTAAAGAGTCTAAGACAAGCAGTCAACTATAGAGAGACACACAAACAATAACAACTATAATACAGACAATAGCATTCTATCAGATGTCTAGCACAGTGGATCTCCTCTCACCTCTTGTTCCAGGTCCTCCAGTGTCAACTATAGACAGACATGCACAGTCAGCAACAATAATATAGACTATTAGAGGCCAAACACAGTGGATCTCCTCCTCTCACCTGTGATTCTACATCCCCCGGTGGCTCTGCTCCAAACTGGGCCATGTTCTCGTTACTCATCAGCTAACAGAGAGAGAGCGACATGGTACAGGTTTGTTTAGAGACAACTTCAATCCTACTCATTCACACACCACAGGTGGTCTAAAATGACTTTCTAAACCGAAAGAGATGTCATGGCATGTACTTTACATCACAGTATTGGTAACTGGCTTTTTTAACACAAATGGGCAATTCTAATATCCTACCGTACATGACAAACTATTTGAAATCAATCAGAGAGAATGGCCCTGGTCATTCCAAGCCTTACCTCCTGAATGGCTGTCATCACCACATGCTGTACGAACTCCTCTAGTGTCATGATGATCTGGATGTACTCTGGACAGACAGAGAGAGACAGAGAGAGACAGAGAGAGATATTCTGTTTTGGGTGCCAGTCTGTTTCAGATTTAGCAGACTCCTTTGTCACTTTCTTGACAAAGCAACAATATAGTGTTGTTAAACTATTTTAGTTCAGCCTCTGTGACTGCACCGTATGTGTGTGTGTGTGTGTGTGTGCAAGCGTAATACCTTGTTTGCGTTCACATTTCACAGCACAGCCCAGTGTGAGCTGCAGCAGTCGTCCCAGTTCTACAGGGTCTGAGTGTTCTGCCACCTTCACCAGGTCTGGCAGGGGAAACTCCTGTATCTGCTGGCTCAGGACCTAGTAACATAGACAGAGAATAGAACAGTTATAACTAGACATTAAACAGTAACCTGGACCAGGTCTGGGAGGGAGAAGTCTGAGATCTGCTGGCTCAGGACCTGGTGACATAGAGAGAGAATAGAACCAGACATAAAGGTCCTGAGTGGCGCAGTGGTCTAAGGCGCCGCATCGCAGTGCTAACTGTGCCACTCTGTCGCAGCCGGCCGCGACCGGGAGACTCATGGGCGGCGCACAATTGGCCCAGCGTCGTCCAGGGTAGGGGAGGGAATGGCCGGCAGGGATGTAGCTCAGTTGATAGAGCATGGCGTTTGCAACGCCAGGGTTGTGGGTTCGATTCCCACGGGGGGCCAGTATAAAAAATATATATATGTATTCACTAACTGTAAGTCGCTCTGGATAAGAGCGTCTGCTAAATGACTAAAATGTAATGTAATAAAGGGTTATAAGTCAGCGCTTCTACTGACCTCATTGTAGTAATCCACCATCATCTGAAGGATCTTCTTCAGGTTATTCATCTGGAGAAAGAAGTTACACACTCATCACTCTACATAAACAAAGTGTACACCTCAAAGAAACTCCTCACAGTGAGTTATGGAAACATTTAGAGTGAGTCTTCTCTGATCTGGGGAGGATATATCTGACAGGCTAATGGCTGGCTAAAATACTAACAGGGCCAGCAGAGAGCAATCACTCTGGCTTTTAGGTCAGTAGGGGAGGAAAACAAGGAGGGGGGGAGGAAAACAAGGAGGGAGGGAGGGAGGGGGGAAGGAGGGAGGGAGGGAGGGAGGAAGGAAGGAAGGATAGCAAGGGAATTAGGGATGGAAGTACAGAGAGAAAGAGGGATGTGCAGTTCAGCACCTTGAGTCTCCAGTTATCTCCAACATCTTCTTTAATGCGACCAAGCCAACTCTCACTGAACCACGCTGGATCTCTGCTTGGCACAACACACACACATGCATAAGCATTGGACAAAAAATGTCTACTGAACAACCATATTCAAATCAGAAAATATCCAACCCCAAAATCTGACTGGGGTTAGACCCGACTCCAGTGTGTTAAATGTTCAGCCAGGGTAAGACCATCAGTATAAATGAATAATGTCTCTGCAGCCTGGACATACACTGTGATGTGTGTATGTATGTGTGTGTTTGTGCCTCACATCTGATGCAGGGCCTGAGAAATGGCAGCTCCAGTGGTCAGCTCCTCTACAGTCATACATGGTGCTGCAGTGTTGAAGGTCTGGAGCTGAGGGTGATACAAACAGGGAGAATAACACAGGTTAGAGTAGAGACCGAGGAGAAGGGGAGACGCTGGGACAGGAATGAGAAAGGGGGAGGCAGTTGGAGGCACTGATATCTATCTCCTCTTGCATGCATCGTATAGCATCAAGTTGCAAAGCCTGTCGTGAACCATCATACACATGTAATGGGTGTGCAGATAGAAAAGAGAGAAAGCTTGTGTGTAAGAGAGATAGCCCCAGAGAGAGATGCTACTCAGCTCTGCTCTGGTGGACTTGTGAATAATTCACCCTCCATGACTGTCTCTCCATGGTGTCAGATGACCACTAGCCTCAGCTCCCAGGCTTCGCTCACAAGGTGAAAGCCTGTGACAAGGGTTGAGACCTCACTACCAGCCTGTCACCATGACCTTTACAGGCAATACAAAATAGACACTACCTACCTAGTCCTGTGCTCTCAAATGCTTTACCTGTGGAGAGAAACATTCACTGGTAGACTGTAGTGCTCCCCTCCACACAATGTGGTTATTAATTCACTGAGAGAGTGTCCTGTACTGGCTACACAATGTTCAGGTTCATGTTACTGTACATCTTAAGTCTGTAGTGGCTTCATTTTGTCTCCTCTTCATTTACACTTGTTTCAGTCACTGAAGAGGTGAAAACAATGGTGGATGGATGCACACCAGGAATGAGCTTTCCCCTGACCAGATCTCTCACATCGTTGCAGATAAGAGGGAGGATAGCTCTTCAAGTCAAATTGACATGATCTCAAATGTTACTCAATTATTGCAAGCCACATAAGGAAGGTTGCATAAAAAAAACTACAGGTGTGACAATGCACACAATGAGGCTAAACGCAAATGAAAGGCAAACTATTACCAAGTTGCCAGTGGCCTATAATATTTGATTGCATAACAAAAGATTGAAGGAGTGACATTCCACAAATATCTAGCAGTTAATGAGATTAGCTCCCTAAATAGGATGAGGATCAACTGAATAAGGATATTGTTGTCTTTGCTTACAAAGACAAAACTGAAAACAACGGCACGCTCAATTTGAGTATTGTATAGATTGAGATAAAATAGCCTATCTGCAATGATTATCTGCGCATATAGTGCATTCGGAAAGTATTCAGACCCCTTAACTTTTTACACATTCAAGCCATGAGGTCGAAGGAATTGTCCGTAGAGCTCTGAGACAGGATTGTGTCGAGGCACCGATCTGGGGAAGGGTACCAAAACAAATCACAGTGGCCTCCATCATTCTTAAATGGAAGAAGTTTGGAACCACCAAGACTCTTCCTAGAGCTGGCCGCCCGGCCAAACTAAGCAATCGGTGAAGGGCCTTGGTCAGGGAGTTGACCAAGAACCCGATGGTCACTCTGACAGAGCTCCAGAGTTCCTCTGGGGAGATGGGAGAACCTTCCAGAAGGACAACCATCTCTGCAGCACTCCACTAATCAGGCCTTTATGGTAGAGTGGCTAGATGGAAGCCACTCCTCAGTTAAAGGCACATGACAGCCCGCTTGGAGTTTGCCTAAAGGCACCTAAAGGACTCTCAGACCATGAAAAACAAGATACTCTGGTCTGATGAAACCAAGATTGAACTCTTTGGCCTGAATACAAAGCGTCACGTCTGGAGAAAACAAGGCACCGCTCATCACCTGGCCAATACCATCCCTACGGTGAAGCATGGTGGTGGCAGCATCATGCTGTGGGGATGTTTTTCAGCGGCATGGACTGGGAGACTAGTCAGGATTGAGGGAAAGATTAACGGAGTACAGTACAGAGAGATGAAAACCTTGATGAAAACCTGCTCCAGAGCGCTCAGGACCTCAGACTGGGGCGAAGGTTAACCTTCCAACAGGACAACAACCCTAAGCACACAACCAAGACAACACAGGAGAGGCTTCGGCACAAGCCAGAGCCCGGACTTGAACCCAACTGAACATCTCTGGAGAGACCTGAAAATAGCTGTGCATCCAACCTGACAGAGTTTGAGAGGATCTGCAGAGAAGAATTGGAGAAACTCCCCAAATACAGGTGTGCCAAGCTTGTAGCGTCATACCCAAGAAGACTCAAGGCTGTAATCGTTGCCAAAGGTGCATCAACAAAGTACTGAGTAAAGGGTCTGAATTACTTACAGTGGGGAGAACAAGTATTTGATACACTGCCGATTTTGCAGGTTTTCCTGCTTACAAAGCATGTAGAGGTCTGTAATTTCTATCATAGGTACACTTCAACTGTGAGAGACGGAATCTAAAACAAAAATCCAGAAAATCACATTGTATGATTTTTAAGTAATTAATTTGCATTTTATTGCATGACATAAGTATTTGATATATCAGAAATGCAGAACTTAATATTTGGTACAGAAACCTTTGTTTGCAATTACAGAGATCATACGTTTCCTGTAGGTTTTGACCAGGTTTGCACACACTGCAGCAGGGATTTTGGCCCACTCCTCCATACAGACCTTCTCCAGATCCTTTCTATTGGGTTCAGGTCTGGAGACTGGCTAGGCCACTCCAGGACCTTGAGATGCTTCTTACGGAGCCACTCCTTAGTTGCCCTGGCTGTGTGTTTCGGGTTGTTGTCATGCTGGAAGACCCAGCCACGACCCATCTTCAATGCTCTTACTAAGGGAAGGATGTTGTTGGCCAAGATCTCGCGATACATGGCCCCATCCATCCTCCCCTCAATACGGTGCAGTCGTCCCCTTTGCAGAAAAGCATCCCCAAAGAAAGATGTTTCCACCTCCATGCTTCACGGTTGGGATGGTGTTCTTGGGGTTGTACTCATCCTTCTTCTTCCTCCAAACACGGCGAGTGGAGTTTAGACCAAAAAGCTCTATTTTTGTCTCATCAGACCACATGACCTTCTCCCATTCCTCCTCTGGATCATCCAGATGGTCATTGGCAAATTTCAGACGGGCCTGGACATCGCTGGCTTGAGCAGGGGGACCTTGCGTGCGCTGCAGGATTTTAATCCATGACGGCGTAGTGTGTTACTAATGGTTTTCTTTGAGACTGTGGTCCCAGCTCTCTTCAGGTCATTGACCAGGTCCTGCCGTGTAGTTCTGGGCTGATCCCTCACCTTCCTCATGATCATTGATGCCCCACGAGGTGAGATCTTGCATGGAGCCCCAGATCGAGGGTGATTGACCGTCATCTTGAACTTCTTCCATTTTCTAATAATTGCGCCAACAGTTGTTGCCTTCTCACCAAGCTGCTTGCCTATTGTCCTGTAGCCCATCCCAGCCTTGTGCAGGTCTACAATTTTATCCCTGATGTCCTTACACAGCGCTCTGGTCTTGGCCATTGTGGAGAGGTTGGAGTCTGTTTGATTGAGTGTGTGGACAGGTGTCTTTTATACAGGTAACGAGTTCAAACAGGTGCAGTTAATACAGGTAATGAGTGGAGAACAGGAGGGCTTCTTAAAGAAAAACTAACAGGTCTGTGAGAGCCGGAATTCTTACTGGTTGGTAGGTGATCAAATACTTATGTCATGCAATAAAATGCAAATTAATTACTTAAAAATCATACAATGTGATTTTCTGGATTTTTGTTTTAGATTCCGTCTCTCGCAGTTGAAGTGTACCTATGATAAAAATGACAGACCTCTACATGCTTTGTAAGTAGGAAAACCTGCAAAATCGGCAGTGTATCAAATACTTGTTCTCCCCACTGTATGTAAATGTGATATTTCCGTGCAAAAATGTCTAAAAACCTGTTTTTGCTTTGTCATTATGGGGTATTATGTGTAGATTGATGAGGGAAAAAAACTATTTAATCAATTTTAGAATAAGGCTGTAACGTAACAAAATGTGGAAAAAGTGAACGGGTCTGAATACTTTTCGAATGCACTGTAGGCCTACTCTATCAGGGTTGCGTAGGTTACTTTCTAAATGTAATCCGTTACCGTTACTATTTACCTGTCAAATTGTAATCAGTAATGTAACTTTTGGATTACCCAAACTCAGCAACATAAACTGGTTACTTTCAGTTACTTTTGGATTACTTTCCCCTTAAGAGGCATTAGAAGAAGACAAAAAGGATCCATCAAGCGAATCGTGTGTGTCATCATAGTGGTCTCTGACTTGTGGTCAGACTCGCTCCGTTGGAACAAACTTAAAAACTTGCTCCTTTTTTTATGCAGAATTGAATTTCATTGAGAAAACAGTAGTGCTGAGTGATTAACCTACATTTTGGGAGGGTTTGGTTATTAAGATGTGTGTAGTGGAGGGTATACGCAGCAGGTATATGCCGTATACCCTCTCAGTAGCATGGGTAAAATCACTGGTGAAGCCAAGCTGATTCTGATGGTTGGATCCTAATCGCCATTATAATCATTGGCCAGTACAGAGAATTAAGTAAAACCATAAGTTCAAATCCCTATCTCTATCCATGGCTAATTTAGGAAAGGGCCAATTTTAGCTAGCTAGCTAGCTAGCCACCAGAGGACAACAACACAACGAGATGCAACAATTCAAGTTGTTCTGTCAATGATGTATGCTCTCAATCGCATTTGACAGGAGTGACAACAAAATTCAAGTTTGCTTCCCTTGACACTTTTTTTTTTGGTGCGCCAGGACCATTCACAGTTGAGTTGATTGGCACATTTGTTATACTTTTTTTGTCAAGGGAGGCCAGATGCTCGCCGGTTTCCCTTGCCTTCAATGCTACGTGCAGCAACAATGTAATCCTTGTTTGGACCAGACAGCATCAGATAGATGGCCTACACGTAGAGAGACAGGGGGGCGCTGTTTCGCTCGCTTGGATGCTTTCTCCTGTGAGATATATTCAGCCTCCTGCGAATTGAAAGAAAATTATGAAACACAGAGAGACGAAATATAAAATATTTAACGTTTTTTATTTGTCCATTTTTTGTGGAAGCCTGGCTTCCCTTGGCATCCATGAATACACGCCACTGTACCTACTTATTTTTCAGTGGGCATTGCTGTCACGCCCTGACTCTGGGGACTCGTATTTGTTGAGTCAGGGTGTGTATTTTCTGTGTGGTATGTTCTATGTTGCATTTTCTATGTTTAGATCTAGATCGTGTAGATCTATGTTGGCCGGTGTGGTTCCCAATCAGAGGCAGCTGTAGCTCGTTGTCTCTGATTGGGGACCATACTTAGGCAGCCTATTGGCACTAGTGGGTTGTGGGATCTTGTTCCGTGTGAGGTATGTTGTTTGTCTACCTTGGACTTCACGTTTCGTTTCATTTGTTGTTTTGTCGTGTTGTTTATTCAGTATAAATAAACATGTATGCATATCACGCTGTGCCTTGGTCCGTCCCGTCTGTAAACGAGCGTGACAGAAGATCCCACCAAACGAGGACCAAGCAGCGTGTTCAGGAGCAAACGCCGGGAATTCAACAGGAGGTTACATTAGTAGATGTCCTCCTCGGTTGGGGGAGAATTACGGAGGAGGAGGCCGTCCGTTACCGGAAGGCGATGAAGGAGGATGCCCAGGTAGGAGAGGAGAAACGGCACCAACAGTGCCGACGACGGAGACCCGAGAGGCAACCCCATGAACATTTTTTGGGGGGGCACACGGTGTGGACGACGAGGCAGCAGGAGGCCGTTAAAGGGCGGATCTGCAGGTTAGGAGAGGAGGCCACCATGTTACGGGGGCTATTGGTTCAGAGGGAGCAGGAGTTATTCGGTCAGAGGGAGGCGCTACAGGAGGCTATAAGGGAGAAGGAAAGTGTAGAGGCACGGCGAGAGGAGCTGGTTAGGCAGCAGAAGGAGCGGGGGTTAATAAAGGAACCCAGTCCCGCTCCTCGCACCAAGCAAGTGGTGCGTGTCGCCAGTCCGGTCCGGCCCGTTCCTGCTTCCCGCACTAAGCCAGTGGTGCGTGTTCCCAGTACGGCCCGACCCGTTCCTGTCCCTCACACCAAGCCAGTGGTGCGCGTCGCCAGCCCGGTCCGGCCTGTCCCTCGCACCAAGCCAGTGGTGCGTGTCGCCAGGCCGGCCCGGCCTGTTCCTGTCCCTCGCACCAAGCCAGTGGTGCGCGTCGCCAGCCCGGCCCGGCCTGTTCCCCGCACCAGGCCAGTGGTGCGCGTAGCCAGGCCGGTACGGCCCGTCCCTGCTCCCTGCACCAAGTCAGTGGTGCGCGTCGCCAGCCCGTTCCTGCTCCCCGCACCAAGCCAGTGGTGCGTGTGTCCAGTCCGGCACGGCCCGTGCCTGTTTTACCGGTGCCTGGTCCGGCAACGGTCAGCTGCTCCACTCCGGAGCCAGAGCAGTCTGCTCCACCGGTGCCCAGTTCAGCTCCGGTCAGCTGCTCCACTCCGGAGCCAGAGCAATCCGCTTCACCGGGGTCCAGCTCCGGTCAGCGGCTCCACTCCAGAGCCAGAGCAGTCCGCTCCACCGGTGCCTAGTCCAGCTCCGGTCAGCTGCTCCACTCCGGAGCCAGAGCAGTCCGCTCCACCGGTGCCTGATCCAGCTCCGGTCAGCTGCTCCACTCCGGAGCCAGACCAGTCCGCTCCACCGGTGCCCGGTCCAGCTCCGGTCAGCGGCTCCAGTCCAGACCCAGACGTCAGCCCCTCTCCAGGTTCGGGGTCTCCCACACCAGGGTCCAGACAGGGCTTGGTACTTCGTGGGAGGAAGGAGAGGGGAAGCAGCGCGCCGAGGTCCAGACTAGACCAGGGGCGCAACAGGGAGGCGGAGAGTAAGTGGTCGTCACGCCCTGAGCCGGATCGCCCACCCGGCCCCAACCCTGTTATGTTTATGCTATGCGGTCGGAGTCCGCACCTTTGGGGGGGGGGGTACTGTCACGCCCTGACTCTGGGGACTCGTATTTGTTGAGTCAGGGTGTGTATTTTCTGTGTGGTATGTTCTATGTTGCATTTTCTATGTTTAGATCTAGATCGTGTAGATCTATGTTGGCCGGTGTGGTTCCCAATCAGAGGCAGCTGTAGCTCGTTGTCTCTGATTGGGGACCATACTTAGGCAGCCTATTGGCACTAGTGGGTTGTGGGATCTTGTTCCGTGTGAGGTATGTTGTTTGTCTACCTTGGACTTCACGTTTCGTTTGTTGTGGTGTTTATTCAGTATAAATAAACATGTATGCATATCACGCTGCGCCTTGGTCCGTCCCGTCTGTAAACGAGCGTGACAATTGCGCATACTCACTTCTTAATCCCCACTGATACATATCAAAGAACACTGTATCAATTAATAGGGCTGATGGAATGTTTAGGTTAAAATGTTGATAAACTATTATTTCTTCACAGTTTATGCGCAGCAATGCACTCACATTTCTTTGGTGGGATTTTGGCTATAGGCTACTTTGAAGCAAGGTAAGACATGCCTCATAATATGAAGTAAAACGTCCAGGTTTCAAACAATTAAGAAACAGAACAAATATAGAGATGCTAATGATAGGCCTAACCAGATGGAAAGGCTTTCCCAAAAACCTTCTCTATTAAATGTTAACTAGCTACAAGTTAGCCTACGCCTACCTGTCAGAATGATATCATGATTATTTGTTTCAATCCAGTGGCCATTTCTTTTTCAAACTCATGTGCTACAGAAACAACACTAATCAAACAATAGCTTTAGGTGCCTGCACACTTGAATTAAAGGGTAAGTACTCTCAAAAATCTAACTTTTTTGCATCTTTCCCAGACCTCAAAAGTTGTCTCCTGATGTGGTTTAATCATCGTTACGGACTTAGAGCATAAAATGTTGTTTTTCTGTTAACAAAGGTGTGACTTTGAGAACGAAAACCTGGAAAAAATTGGGGTGAAATCTGAAACCTGTGAATTTATGACTCAGTTTATCTGTTTCAATTGTAGGCCTACTATTAGCCTACTGCACAGTACAGCTTGGATTGGCCTGACTGTGAAAGACTAATATGGGATTCATAATTTTAGGTCATTCAGAGTGCGTCACTGTTTCTCATAGAATTTTTCACACAGGGCACCTTTCCTTCGCAGGGCAGACCATTTGGAAAAATGTTGACAAAATTTGAGTATACCCACTTCTCCAGGCACCGACGTCGGTTCAATTTATTTTTTGTATTTTATTTCACCTTTATTTAACCAGGTAAGCCAGTTGAGAACGAGTTCTAATTTACAACTGCGACCTGGCCAAGATAAAGCAAAGCAGTGCAGTAAAAACAACAACACAGAGTTACATATGGAATAACAAAACATACAGTCAATAACACAATAGAAAATCTATATACAGTGTGTGCAAATGTAGTAAGTTATGGAGGTAAGGCAATAAACAGGCCATAGTGCAAAATAATTACAATTATAATTTAGTATTAACACTGGAGTGATAGATGTGCAGAAGATGATGTGCAAATAGAGAAACTGGGGTGCAAATGAGCAAAAAAAATAACAATGTAAATAACAATATGGGGATGAGGTAGTTGGGTGGGCTAATTTCAGATGGGCTGTGTACAGGTGCAGTGATCGGTAAGCTGCTCTGACAACTGATGCTTAAAGATAGTGAGGGAGATAAGTGTTTCCAGCTTCAGAGATTTTTGCAGTTCGTTCCAGTCATTTGCAGCAGAGAACTGGAAGGAATGGCGGCCAAAGGAGGTGTTGGCTTTGGGGAAGACCAGTGAGATATACCTGCTGGAACGGATACTACGGGTGGGTGTTGCTATGGTGACCAATGAGCTAAGATAAGGCAGGGATTTGCCTAGAAGTGATTTATAGATGACCTGGATCCAGTGGGTTTGGCGACGACTATGTAGTGAGGGCCAGCCAACGAGAGCGTACAGGTCACAATGGTGGGTAGTATATGGGGCTTTGGTGACAAAACGGATGGCACTGTGATAGACTACATCCAATTTGCTGAGTAGAGTGTTGGAAGCTATTTTGTAAATGACATCGCCGAAGTCAAGGATCGGTAGGATAGTCCGTTTTACGAGGGCATGTTTGGCAGCATGAGTGAAGGAGGTTTTGTTGCGAAATAGGAAGCCGATTCTAGATTTAACTTTGGATTGGAGATGCTTAGTGTGAGTCTGGAAGGAGAATTTACGGTCTAACCAGACACCTAGGTATTTGTAGTTGTCCACATATTCTAAGTCAGACACGCCGAGAGTAGTGATTCTAGTCGGGCAGGCGGGTGTAAGCAGCGTTCGATTGAAGAGCATGCATTTAGTTTTACTAGCGTTTAAGAGCAGTTGGAGGCCACGGAAGGAGTGTTGTATGGCATTGAAGCTTGTTTGGAGGTTTGTTAACACCGTGTCCAATGAAGGGCCAGATGTATACACAATGGTGTCGCTGCGTAGAAGTGGATCTGAGAGTTGCCAGCAGAGCAAGAGCGACATCATTGATATACACAGAGAATAGAGTCGGCCCGAGAATTGAACCCTGTGGCACCCCCATAGAGACTGCCAGTGGTCCAGACAACAGGCCCTCCGATTTGACACATTGAACTCTATCTGAGAAGTAGTTGGTGAACCAGGCGAGGCAGTCATTTGAGAAACCAAGGCTATTTAGTCTGCCAATAAGAATGCGGTGATTGACAGAGTCAAAAGTCTTGGCCAGGTCAATGAAGACGGCTGCACAGTACTGTCTTTTATCGATCGTAGTTATTATATCGTTTAGGACCTTGAGCGTGGCTGAGGTACACCCATGACCAGCTCGGAAACCAGATTGCATAGCGGAGAAGGTACGGTGGGATTCAAAATGGTCGGTGATCTGTTTGTTAACTTTGCTTTCAAATACTTTCGAAAGGTAGGGGAGGATGGATATAGGTCTGTAACAGTTTAGATCTAGAGTGTCACCCCCTTTGAAGAGGGGGATGACAGCGGCAGCTTTCCAATCTCTGGGGATCTCAGATTATACGAAAGAGAGGTTGAACAGGCTGGTAATAGGGGTTGCGACAATTTCGGCGGCTAATTTTAGAAAGAAAGGGTCCAGATTGTCTAGCCCAGCTGATTTGTAGGGTCCAGATTTAGCAGCTCTTTCAGAACATCAGCTATCTGAATTTGGGTGAAGGAGAAGCGGGGGGGGGGCATGGGCATGTTGCAGCGGAGGGTGCAGAGCTGGTGGCCAGGGTAGGGGTAGCCAGGTGGAAAGCATGGCCAGCCCTAGCAAAATGCTTGTTGAAATGTTCGATTATCGTAGATTTATCGGTAGTGACAGTGTTTCCTAGCCTCAGTGCAGTGGGCAGCTGGGAGGAGGTGCTCTTATTCTCCATGGACTTTACAGTGTCCCAAAACCTTTTGGAGTTAGTGCTACAGGATGCAAATTTCTGTTTGAAAAAGTTAGCCTTTGCTTTCCTAACTGATTGTGTATATAGGTTCCTGACTTCCCTGAAACGTTGCATATCGCGGGGGCTGTTGAATGCTAATGCAGTACGCCACAGGATGTTTTTGTGCTGGTCAAGGGCAGTCAAGTCTGGGGTGAACCAGGGGCTATATCTGTTCTTAGTTCTGAATTTTTTGAATGGGGCATACTTATTTAAGATGGAGGAAAGCACTTTTAAAGAACAACCAGGCATTCTCTACTGATGGAATGAGGTCAATATCCAACCAGGATACCTGGGCCAGGTCAATTAGAAAGGCCTGTTCGCTTAAGTGTTTTAGGGAGCGTTTGACAGTGATGAGGGGTGGTCGTTTGACCGCGGACCCATTACGGACACAGGCAATGAGGCAGTGATCGCTAAGATCCTGGTTGAAGACAGCGGAGGTGTATTTAGAGGGTAAATTAGTCAGGATGATATCTATGAGGGTGCCCATGTTAATGGATTTAGGGTTGTACCTGGTAGGTTCCTTGATAATTTGTGTGAGATTGAGGGCATCTAGTTTAGATTGTAGGATGGCCAGGGTGTTAAGCATATCCCAGTTTAGGTCACCAAGCAATACGAACTCTGAGGATAGATGGGGGGCAATCAATTCACATATGGTGTTCAGGGCACAGCTGGGGGCTGAGGGGGATCTGTAGCAAGCGGCAACAGTGAGAGACTTATTTCTGGAAAGGTGGATTTTTAGAAGTAGAAGCTCAAACTGTTTGGGCACGGACCTGGATAGTATGATAGAGCTCTGCAGGTTATCTCTACAGTAGATTGCAACTCCGTCCCCTTTGGCAGTTCTATCTAGATGGAAAATGTTGTAGTTGGGAATGGACATTTCAGAATCTTTGGTGGCCTTCCTAAGCCAGGATTCAGACACTGCTAGAACATTAGGGTTGGCGGCGTGTGCTAACGCAGTGAATAACTCAAACTTAGGGAGGAGGCTTCTGATGTTAACATGCAAGAAACCAAGGCTTTTGCGGTTACAGAAGTCAACAAATGATAGCGCCTGGGGAGCAGGAGTGATACTGGGAGCTACAGGGTCTGGGTTAACCTCTACATCACCAGAGGAACAAAGGAGGAGTAGAATAAGGATACGGCTAAAGGCTTTAAGAACTGGTCTTCTAGTGCGTTGGGTACAGAGAAAAAAAGGGGCCGATTTCCGGGCGTTGTAAAATAGATTCAGGGCATTGGACAGCACGGATATTCTTGGAAAAAGTTGAATTTGGAAATAGACCTGCACCTCTTGAATTTTGAGTTATTTGACAAAAGTACGTGTCATAGAAACTGCAGAATATGCTCTTTCTGATACTATATAGAAATCCAAATGTTTTACCTGCTTGTGACTAAAGGAGGATTTGATAAAGTGATGCTCCTTTCCCTGCATCTGTCAATTATAAGATGAGCCCATCTCTTCATGTACAATTTGACAACTGATAAGCCTAATATTGTCACTCATCAGATTATTGTCAATTTAATCTTGTCTATAGGCTAACTCTTATTATGTGTGAAATTAGTTTTGGTGTAGTTTCAATGGGCCAGCTGTGCAGGCTGACTAGCATCGTTTGTTTTCCGCTCATCAACTTGGATAGCGTCAAGGATATGTTTTGCATTATTCTAAAGGCCTACTGCAACATGTAGTATGTTTACGTTTCCCTTACAGTAAATTTGATTAGTAATAGAGTTATAGTAAATAAAATAGTTCCATAACATATTCTTTATATAAAGTAAAATGTAAAAGAGAATGGTATCAACCCACATGGCGCGCGGTCAAATTATTTTCTGTAAATAGGCATAACAAACTCATCATTACACTATTGTCTTTCTAAATCAAATAAACCTATTCTCCCTCCTTATCATTCAGTTAGGCCTAATTTAAATGAAATTGTGAGTTAAGGTGCACAATTATCGCCCATTCATCCATTTGTCATTCCTTCAGTGAGGAGAGAGAAGCATTAGCGCCTGGCTGGGTACCAAAGTCCTAAAGCACATTGTCTTGGCGGGTTAAATTGGGAATAGGTGTGATTTTTTTTTTTACCATATCGACAATGGTTTATCAATACGTGAACATTAGGTTACTGCACATTATTATAAATAGGAGAGAACAGGTGGGTTTCCAAATCGACACAAGTGGCCCATTTCCTGATTCCTTCAGTCCCGACACTGACCTAGCTCTCAACAACCATTCTCTCTGTTGGGTTTTCAGCTGTTACATTCGCCCACGGCTAGCTCCATGTGAACTACAATTCCGACGCTGTGTTTTAACGTTTAGAAACGTCAATAATTATCACTTGTAAAACGGTTTTCGAAACGTATGTCCCTTATCTTTCATATCAGCAATAAATAATTATTCAAATAAAAAAGATACACTTACTGTAGCAGATTTGCACAGATCCATAAGCAGTGTACCTCCAATTGAAAAAACAACACTTCCTCCCCAGTTAGCTAGATAGCTAATTAACACAGGTGGTTGCCTCTGTCTTCTGTCAACAAGTGCTGTAACATGGAGATATGGCCATGTGGGAACACTAACCATAACCCTATAAAAAGGTGTGTAGTAATTTAACCTTTCGTTTTTTGAAAATTAGAATAGCAGAATACACAAGGTGCAATTAGGAAATGTTGTTGTGCATCAGCAGTTTTTCCTCTTGTTATGTCAGTCAATGACAGTCACTCAATTTGCCCATGTCACCTAACATTTTTTAGATTGGTAAATTAGTCTAGCCAGCTGTGTAAACTTGTAGTAATCATGGTCAAATTACCGACTGATTTTGTTAAGTCACACTCAGCTATCATATTAAAAACTGCAAATATTTCTCTACATCCCATGGCATGAATTGCAGGAAATTAACTCTAAAACGTTTTTTTTCTTTCTCTGCTGTCAAGAGGGGGGCTGCTAAAATGTTTGGCTTGCAACATTTCACTTAGGGCCCCCAAAAGACTAGGACCTGCTCTGACTGCATGTGTGTGTATGGATGTGGGTAAGCAGACCAGTGAGCCACTGCAGCCCCTCATGATGACTTCAGATTTTTTGTGGCCCCCACCCCCATCAAAGTTGCAAGCGTCGTGGCCCATCAAAGTTGCAAGCGTCGTGGCTTTTAAACCCCTAAAGGTTAGCATCTATGAATTGGCAAACCATAACCTACCTGCCATAGGTAAACGATACCGTCATTGGTAAGACAGTAAACATTCATGCAATAAGACGCTTTTTAGAGTGCTCTCTGAAAGAACTGAGGACATCACTGACATACTCACCCATATAACCAGGCTCTCACACAACACCGGTTTGTCAGTCTCCATTTCTCCGCGTCGGGTTTGGCTAGACATGATTGTCCAGGGCACCTGTTAACAACAACGCGGTTCCCCTTCCCTCTGCATTTCACCTCACCTGCGGGGGTTGGATCTCTAGCGCTAACTGCGTAATGTGGGCATGTTTCCTGGTCACTACGCTGTAAAAGCCCCGTGAGTTTCTACGTGAATAGCCGCCGCTTCGCGTTTTGACGTTTTCCGTTGAGACGGATCGGGGATTAACCGCATAAAGAGCAAGAACGAGAATTGAAACAACAACCGCACTGAGCTGACTGTAACAGACAGACTGTGGGGATACGATGGAGCCAATCACAGAGCGGAATCAAAGGTTTGTTAACGCCTCAATTATCTGAGCTAGAATGTCTCCGTATTTCACGATTTCTCCTCGACCTCAAAGATAGTAGAATAGTCATAGTAACTTTAGTGGATATTAAACTAAAAAAGGCCGATATAGAGCCTTTACTATATTGCTTACCCATCCAATCAAGTCAGATTTACTAAGTCAGAAAGTAGGCTACAGCAAGAAGGGTGCTAGTTTTCCCATTAGTGTTTGTGAATCTCATGTGATCAATGAACATTTTATTACAGTGAGTGTGTGCGCATGTGCGTGAATCTCATGTGAGGAATGAACTTTTTATTACAGATAAGATGAGGGAAACTCAGGTGCCTGGTCTCATGAGAAGAAAAGTCTCCTTTACCATAAACAGGGCCGGCTTACCAAATGGGGATGCAGGGCACGTGCCCCGGGGCCCCCGACCTCCAGGGGGGAGGCTGGAGTTGGGTTCCCCGGAGCCCCAAATGCGGTAGTTCGGCCCTGACTATACCTGGTGGCACAGACCCATGAGCCAAAATGTGGACCCCCAAAATAATTATCTGCATGGTAGATATCTAAAGGGTTTCAACTCATACTCAGTTACTACACTTTACCACTCTCAACAGACCACTGTCTGTTTGTACATCAGTTGACAAGAATAGGGCTGGGTTCCCAGACCCAGATTAAGTTAACTCCTGGGACTAAAAAGCACTTTCATTTGAGATTCTCTATTAAGCATGCTTAGTCCAGGAGTAAGCTTAATCTTGGTCTGGGAAAATAGTATGAACACATAAATAGATAAATGAATGAATATAAGTAGTTTACTTTACCTAACATAACATGTTAGTGCTGTGTCAGGGGCAACTTTTCTGACATCAAAGCATTCTGGTCTGCTGAGCAATGTCTTGGCATGTGAAAGATAAATATTATTGGTGGCCATTGCACCTCTCTGGCATCACTGTTCTACACAAGGCTGTTTTGAAATGATGTGAGCTGTGTTCGAATACTCATACTAACAGCACATACCTTACTATTTGTGACTATTTGTGACGTAAATTTAGTATGTAGTATGCTTATTGGTCATAGTATGGATATAGTTAGTATGCCAAAAGTTCCCGGATGTCGTACTACATTTGCCAAAATACGAAGTATACAAACAGTGGACACTATTTCTGTGCTTTTAGGGCCCATAATGCAATTCTTCATAAAATGGGCTTCACAACGTTTTCAGATTTTAAGAAAATGGCATAAAATATGCAGCCGAAGTCCGACGAGAGCGGATACAAATTCATTGCTTTAACTAATTATGACAAATGTTAAGAAAATGTTGAGCAATGTAATAAAGTAATGACTTTTCAAATAAGTTACACATTATGTTGGCTGACATTTTGTTAGCTACGCTATCCTTACAAGCCGCATAGAAAATCATTACAGCAGTATGTACCAGTATGTTAGCTAGCTAACCTAACGTTAGTTGGCTACTGGTATATCGAACTTGCCAGTATATTAACTATATGCAATCTAACTAACTACCCAACGTTTATTGACTTGATTATTCACATCATTCTTAGCTTAGCTAAGTGGTATAGTCATTGTGTGTTCTCAATGGACATTGTTAATTCAGGGAGTAGTTCGTAAATTTGCTCTGGCTATCTAGTCCGATTTCAGAGCACTCTTGTCTGAGGGTGCCAGAGCGCAGAATAACAGATTAATTTACGAACGCTCAACACCGGTTGAATATGGCCAGTCATTAAATTGTTGCCAGCAGCACAGTTACAGTCACCAACGCTCTGGATAACAAGAAAACAGCCTAACCAGCTCTGCTAGGGCGAGTAAAATGGTCAGAGTGAGGTGTTCTCTCACTTGTGTCTGGAAGAAGCTAGCCAACGTTAGCCAGTTAGCTTGGGTGCTTGACTGCCGTTGTGAGGTCAGAACGCTTGGATCAATCCTACTCCTTGGCCAGAACGTCCAGTGTGCGCTCTGAACTCTCCGAGAGCGAAACACTCTGAATTTACGAATGGAAAATCTGACAACGCTCTGAATTTATGCACGCCCAGAACGCACTCTGAGCGCACTCTGGCACTCCAGATTTAATTTAAGAACACACCCCTAGTAATTTGTTATGCTAACAAGCTACCGTAGCAAGAGGTTGCATAGCAACAGCATCAACATCCGGTAGACAGGCATAGCGCTAGTACGCTCAACTGAAAGGATACCGTTCGTTTACAGTATCCTAAAATGAACTAATAGTATATAGTATGTAGTATATATATATATGTATGTATATATATATATATATATATATATAACTGATATTAGCACAAGATGGAGGGAATGTTGGAACATAACTAACAGTTAACAAATTCAGGATAAATGTATGTATAGAATTTATTACAAATTCTACAGCACAATGGCAGAGTCATGTCCCGTGTAGCTCAGTTGGTAGAGCATGGCGCTTGCAACACCAAGGTTGTGGGTTCGATTCCCACGGGGGGCCAGTATGAAAAAATATATGCACTCACTAACTGTAAGTCACTCTGGATAAGAGCGTCTGCTAAATGACTAAAATGTAAATGTCTTAAGTGTAAAACTAACAATGACTCAATAATCCATGCCTTCTGGGAATGCTATAAAGTCCAAAAGTTATGGGCGGAGTTAGAAAGTTGTCTGTCAGAAGTATTACAATGTAGATTTACTTTTAATCCGATTGTCTGCATATTTCAAGACATAACATATGAGGGTGCAGTGAAATACTCATCTTGAAAAAACATATACTTAAAAACTGGAAATCAACCAATCCTCCTACACAATGGAAAGGTCAAATTCTTTATTATCTAAATGTTGAAAGTGTGTGGACGATGGAGAGAAACAAAATCATGCATTTTGAGGCCAAGTGGCGGAGAGTAATGCGGGCGCTGGAGATGAGGGTGTGAGAAGTTAGGTCTGGGCAGGTGTGATGTGAATGTTTGTGAGCGTCTGTATGTTGTTATTTTTTTGTAATTTTGTATTGTAAAAATATATATATACTGTATACACTCCAGTCAAAAGTTTGGACACACCAACTCATTCAAGGGTTTTTCTTTATTTTCTACTATTTTCTACATTGTAGAATAATAGTGAAGACATCAACACTATGAAATAACTCATATGGAATCATGTAGTAACCAAAAAAGTGTTAAACAAATCAAAATATATTTTATATTTTAGATTCTTCAAAGTAGCCACCCTTTGCCTTGATGACAGCCTTGCACACTCTTGGCATTCTCTCAACCAGCTTCATGAGGTAGTCACCTGGAATGCATTTCAATTAACAGGTGTGCCTTCTTAAAAGTTAATTTGTGGAATTACTTTCTGTCTTAATGCATTTGAGCCAATCAGTTGTGATGTGTTATGACTCTCCCGAGTGGCGCAGTGGTGTAAGGCACTGCATCGCAGTGCTAGCTGTGCCACTAGAGATCCTGGTTTGAATCCAGACTCTGTCGTAGCCGGCCGTGACCGGGAGACCCATGGGGTCGGCGCACAATTAGCCAGCGTCGTCCAGGGTAGGGGAGGGAATGGCCGGCAGGGATGTAGCTCAGTTGGTAGAGCATGGCGTTTGCAATGCCAGGGTTGTGGGTTCGATTCCCACGGGGGGAATGTATGCACTCACGTAACTGTAAGTCGCTCTGGATACAGAAGATAGCCCTATTTGGTAAAAGACCAAGTCCATATTATGGCAAGAACAGCTCAAATAAGCAAAGAGAAACGACAGTCCATCATTACTTTAAGACATGTAGGTCAGTCAATACGGAACATTTCAAGAACTTTTAAAGTTTCATCAAGTGCAGTCGCAAAAACCATCAAGTGCTATGATGAAACTGGCTCTCATGAGGACCGCCACAGGAATGGAAGACCCAGAGTTACCTCTGCTGCAGAGGATAAGTTCATTAGAGTTACCAGCCTCAGAAATTGCAGCCCAAATAAATGCTTCACAGAGTTCAAGTAACAGACACATCTCAACATCAACTGTTCAGAGGGGACTGTCTGAATCAAGCCTTCATGGTCGAATTGCTGCAAAGAAACCACTACTAAAGGACACCAATAATAATAAGAAACCTGCTTGGGCCAAGAAACACAAGCAATGGACATTAGACCGGTGTAAATTTGTCCTTTGGTCTGGAGTCCAAATTTGAGATTTTTTGTTCAAACCTCCGTGTCTTTGTGAGATGCGGTGTGGGTGAACGGATGATCTCAGCATGTGTAGTTCCCACCGTAAAGCATGGAGGGGGAGGTGCTTTGCTTGTGACACTGTCTGTGATTTATTTAGAATTCACTAAACACTTAACCAGCATGGCTACCACAGCATTCTGCAGCGATACGCCATCCCATCTGGTTTGGGCTTAGTGGGACTATCATTTATTTATCAACAGGACAATTACCCAACACACCACCAGGCTGTGTAAGGGATATTTGACCAAGAAGGAGAGTGATGGAGTGCTGCATCAGATGACCTGGCCACCACAATTCCCCGACCTCAACCCAATTGAGATGGTTTGGGATGAGTCGGACGAAAGAGTGAAGGAAAAGCAGCCAACAAGTGCTGTGCATATGTGGAAAATCCTTCATGACTGTTGGAAAAGCATTCCAGGTGAAGATGGTTGAGAGAAGAAAAAAAAAAAAGAATGCCAAGAGTGTGCAA